CATTATGTCGGAGTCCGAGTCACAACAAGGTAATTATCACATGCGCAGCATCAGCCTGATGGCCTTGTTCTCAATCGCCTCGGCCACGCCAGAGAAGACGGAGACGCTGCACGCGCGGAACGTGTCCGCTTCCCGCGCCGCGAACACCCGGAGGATGAAGTATCCGGCCGGGTGCGCGCGGGCGAAGTCGAGGTGGTTGACCGAGATCTCCATGGGCTTGTGCTCGTCGTCGACTGCTGTCGTCTTGACCTCGAAGAAGAGCTCGCCGCGTGCGCCTTTGAGGACGATGTCGTAGGGGAGGCCGCGCTCGACGCCCATGTTGTTCCAGATGACGACGTAGTCGTCCGCATTTCCAAACATCTTGGACAGCTCGCTGTCGGCGGCGGCGCGACGGAGCCACGCAGCCGCCAGCGCCTCCCCGGCCTGGCCGAGGCGCCGCTGCGCGTCCGTCGCCTCCCCGGCCGGCAGGTAGCGTTCGAACTCCGTCGCCATCTCGCCGTCGCTCGCCTCGAGCGGCGCCGAGCACGCGCAGTAGGCCTCCAATGCTGCGCTGGAGCGCGGCAGGAACGGTCCGTCGCCTCGTCCGTCGCGCGGCGCGGCGCCGCCGCGCGGCGAGGCGCCGCCGCGGTCGAAGGCGCCGCGGTCGCCGCGGTCGCCGGAGCCGTCGAGGTCGGCCGCGGCGCCTCCCCAGCGTCGCAGCGCTTCCTCGTAGGCGTCGGCGATGGGATCTCGGGCGCGCGGCGCTCGGCCCTCATCCTCGGAGTCGCGGACGCGCGCCGCGCCGCCGAAGATCGCCGGACAGACGAACCGCGACAGCGCCGCGTCGCCGGGGCCGGCGGGCAGGCGCAGCAGGTCCTCGAGGGCCTCGAGTTCCGCCGCGGCGTCGCCTCGGCGGGTCGCGGCGTGCAGTCTGGCGAGGGGCCGCGCCACGGCCTCCGGCGCGACGGCGTTCTCTTCCGTCGCGGGCGCGGGCGGCGCGGGAGCGGGCGGCGAGGGCGCGGGCG